TTTCATAATTCTAGACTTATCTAGAGTGCATACATTTGAAACTACATTTGCATGTGCTATATGTAACTAGTGTGTGTGCCATTTAAAAAAGACCAGTGCCATTCTTTACCCCTTAATGCTTCCATTAGTACATACACGATTGCCATGGTTTGCAGCCATACCCAACAATCTTGTATACCCGATTGTAATAATTGCAAATTAAATTTTTTTTTTTTCTTGCAAACCAATTTTGTTTGCAATGGCTGCCCAGACAGCAGAGCTGGTGCTACCATTATAGCACCTGCTTTGCTAAGCCCCCCTACAGCCATATGGGCCGGTGAGGAGATCTATAGATCTCAATGTCTGGCCCTACGCTCGTTGTCAGTAAAGGCTTGATCCCCAGCTAGGAGCAGCTGTCAGAGAGTGGAAGGGGGCATTCACCGTGGTCTGCACTGAGCGCGGAGATGCAGATCTGTCTAGCATCCCATTGGGCAACCAGGGAAACCACTTGGTTTTACCTGCAGAAACAGTAAGCAGTCGGGGGGCTCTACTAAGTTTTTTGTTTTTTTTTAAATGAGTTGCAGTATGTGAGGAGGCTGAAAACTATTTGCTATTGAAGGGGTTAAAATACCAACTATTTTGAGTCATTTTGTGAAGGTTTTTCTTCCTTTCCAAAATTCATTTTTTATGCTCAAAATTCCTTTCTATGCACAATTAGGCTACCATAAATATACACATGTATTCTCACCAACACCATGCAGACACAAACAGGAATTTACACTGAGACATATATGCACCAATAACATCTTGTATTCACAACAATAACACTGACCCCACATACTAATTTACTCTTGCAGTCACATACTTTCCCTGTACACAATTACACCACTCTATTCACACATTCACTACACTGGCAGAGACCCTTGCATTCTATAGTGTTTACCGTATTACCTGTACATAAATAAGCACACAAAACTGACCGAAAACACATATGCACACTATAGTTCACTAAGCAATGAATTTTGCAAATTGAAAACCAAAATTACAAAATCTAGGCTAAAAAAGACTGGAGAATGTTTATTTATTTTTATTTTTTTTGCTCTATGACCTAAACAATTACATTTGTATTTCCATTAATCACAATTCTTTTTAGTGTTTAGTGAATATAATAACAAAGTGTTTAACCAGGAAAGGTACATTCAGATTGCTCTGGTTTCCAAGTACGTCCTTAGGATGTTACCTTAACCCAACATCCAGGGGTTGTTACTATCACCCAATTTAATGGTACTCATTTTATCTACCTCGGAAGGATGAAGAGCTGAGTCAACCCTGCCGGGATTTGAACCTGCGACCCCCAAGGGTCGCAGGTTCCTGACTGCATTGTAAATTTAATTTATGTGTGGTATTCTGTATTGTCTATGTTTGCATAATATTTCTGTGGCTTCATTGTGTTCATGTGCCTTTTTTTGTGTACACTATGTCTCCAGTGTCAATGTAACTATCATTATTAGCATCTTACTGGCTTATTATAAATACTTAGAAATACATTTTCATGCATCTCATTGAATGTACCCGAGGTTGTATAAAAATGTAATAAGTACAAAGAAATCTTTTGGCTTTAAATTGATATATGTGATGGATATACGGGATATGTGGAAACTTACCGGTAGATTTTATAATATATAAAATGTTATATAATAAGAATTATTCACCTGTATATGTAGAGTACATCTTATGACACTATATAAACATACTCTTTTCCCCATACCATATATTTACTTTCTAATTTTTTTTGCCAAAAGCATAACACACTGTCTGCATTGCTGTAACCTTGTATACCGTAAGGCATATAAAGCATAAAATGCAAAAAGATAAATCCTGCGCTCACTCCCATCACTACTGGGCGGCAGCAATGACTACAGTACACATCACACACCAATATATAGTATACCTGCGCTCTCTCCTTACTCCCTATGTATATTTAGACAAATGGAGGTGCTGCCCATCCCATGTGTTCCCTATTAAGGGTTAATAAATGTATAGGGGTGTATATAAAAAAAAATATACCCCCTTCTGTCTCATTAGAGATGTTTTTTCCAGAAGCTCAAGGAAGCAAGACGAATGGTTAGAGTTAGGACCCACCTAGGGGGGTCTGCTTTGACGTTGGTAGGTGGGCTCATCCTCTCATGGCCATTGGAGGTAACTAAAAACCTCCATTTGTTTAAAAATACATAGGGATTAAGGAGAGAGCGCAGGTAACTTGTTTTTCTTTGGTTTTTACTATATATTGGGGCTGATGTGTACTGCAGTCATTGCTGCCGACCAGTACTTATGGGAGTGAGCGCAGTACTTCTCTTTTTGCATTTGTATCCACTTTTTGTATCACACAGCTTTGTTACAATGCTGCCGCCCATCCCATGTATTCCCTATTAAGGGTTAATAAATGTATAGAGGTGTATATATATATATATATATATATATATATAATATCTCCTTCTGTCTCATTAGAGATGTTTTTTGCCAGAAGCTCAAGGAAGCAAGGTGAATGGTTAGAGTTAGGACCCAAGGGGTCTGCCTTGACGTTGGCAGGTGGGCTTACCCTCTCATGGCCATTGGAGGTAACTAAAAAGCTCCATTTGTTTAAAAATACATAGGGATTAAGGAGAGAGCGCAGGTAACTTTTTTTTTGTTTTTTACTTTATAAAGCATAAGACACAAATAAAATCTAACAAATGTGTTTTCAGAGCAGTCATCTATGGTATGTATTATAAACGTTTTATAAAGAGAAAATCCTTTGCTGTAAGTGTGATGCACCCATTATATCAGGACATGCATTATAGAGCAGGTATATAAATATGTGATTCAATGGTTTACTATTAGATCATCATATTTTTCTACACACTACAGTTATTTGCACATAAAATAAATAGGCAACCATAACCAGTAAAACGAGAAGAATTGTATGTTTTTCAGAGCAAGAGATCAATTATTTAAACTTGCAAATAAGCATCAGAACCAGGATAGCGCAATAGGAAGATAGTATAAACTATGCAACAATGTGCAATGTCAATCAGCAGTGGCCAAGGCCAGTAAGGTATTGTCATGCATGAAAAAGGGCATTCATTCTCAGGACGAGAATATCATTTTGCCTCTTTATAAATCACTGTTAAGACCACATATTGAATATGCTGTGCAATTTTGGGCACCTGTTCTAAAGAAGGATATTATGGCACTAGAAAAAGTGCAGAGGCGGGCTACAAAATTAATAAAAGGAATGGAACATATCAGCTATGAAGAAAGGTTAACACATTTAAACCTATTTAGTCTAGAAAAACGTCGCCTGAGAGGAGATATGATAACATTATACAAATATATTCGGGGCCAATACAAACCATTGTGTGGAAATCTATTCACAAGTCTAAACAAGGCCATGCGTTTAGACTGGAAGAAAGAAGATTTCATCTTAGGCAAAGGAAAGGGTTTTTTTACTGTAAGAGCAATCAGGATGTGGAATTCTCTGCCTGAAGAAGTGGTTTTATCAGAGTCCATACAGATGTTCAAACACATACTAGATGCATACTTGCAAAAACAGAATATTCAAGGATATAATCTTTCAATGTAGGGTAATAACTGCTTGATCCAAGGATAGATCTAACTGCCATTCTGGGGTCAAGAAGGAAGTTTTTTCCTAGCTTTTCCAAAATTGTACTTCAAATTTTTTTTTTGCCTTCTTTTGGATCAACAGCAAAAAACAAATGTGAGGAAGGCTGAACTTGATGGACGCAAGTCTCTTTTCACCTATGTAACTATGTAACTATGTAATATACCATGTGTTAGCGAATATCAGTGAAGTTGGCAAGGAAGATAAAAGGATGGAAGTCATAGATTGAGGCAGAGACGTGATGCGTACCCATGCTCTAATGCAAGATTTGTTGAGGAATCATCATGATGAGATTTCCAATCTACAGCATGGAAGCAGCAGCTTTAGAAAACATGTACATGTAGCTGTAGAAAAAGTCACCTAATTAATCAACTCAGCCATTGAAGAAACAGTGTATTAATGGGAGTATGCCAGTGGTACTCTGCGGATTGTAAATATCTTTTATTTGTTATAAGGTCACCAATAATTCGGTTGGATAGATGTGTAAATAGACAGACATATGGACATGCAGATGCAAACATAATATAAAGGCAGATATACTTTAGGTCAATTTGTTATACATTTTAACTATATTTACCCATTACTTCACACATCGAGTTGTATTTATTACAAATTTTAGAACACAGCTAAGACCAGACCCATCCATCACTTTCCTTGGATAAGTAGTGGCCTACTTTGGCACCCAAGATTTTGTGAACTACATTTTGTCCAATAATCGTTTAGCTTGTTTGCCAATGTTAATAGAAAATATTGTATGTATAGAGTACATAGAATGGTATCACTGTCCCAGAGTCATCACGAAAACTTACCTGTCAATGTTTACATGTTTCTGGTTTGTAGTTTGTAAGGGGCAAACCTAGACCTCTGCCAGCATATGGACTAAATCATGAGAAGTCTTCAATTGGAAGATACTCACTCACTGAGCAAAAACCAGACAAAGATTATGATATTCTTGGCTTACACCATAAGAAAACTGGGTAAGAGCCAGATGGCTCATCGTCTCTAGTAGGTGTGAGGCAAATCACCGTGATGTACCATCTAGTCAGCTTAGGGAATGTGACAGAGCAATATTATTGCATTATGACAAAATGTTTGTATCAATGGAATCTGAATTCACCCTGCAATCCATGTCCAGGTGGCCAGTAGATTAGAATGAATATATAATCTGTTAATTCCCATCAGTTCACATCATATAGAGAGTATCTCAAATAATGTCATCAGGGTGTAAATAGAGTCCAGATGTAACAAAATTTTGGGTTGAAGAAAAATACTTATTACTAGTAGTGATGTCCCAAACGGTTTGCCGAACGGTTCGCCACGGACTCATCATTGAGTAAACTTTGACCCTGTACCTCACAGTCAGCAGACACATTCCAGCCAATCAGCAGCAGACCCTCCCTCCCAGACCCTCCCACCTCCTGGACAGCTCACTAAGAATGCAACTTCACCATGGATCCTGTCCAGAAGGTGAGAGGGTCTGGGAGGGAGGGTCTGCTGCTGATTGGCTGGAATGTGTCTGCTGACCGTGAGGTACAGGGTCAAAGTTTACTCAATGATGAGTCCGCGGCGAACCGTTCGTGGCGACCCGTTCGGAACATCACTAATTACTAGGCTTCTTAGGATATCAATACATTCCGCCTTAAAGGTACCCTCCAATCATAGATTTGCATAGTGGGTAAAGTACTTTGAATCTTCTTGCACCATCTCTTTTTTTTGTCATACTTTTGACAAAATCTGGGTATGTCTACAGAATCCAGAAATCGATGCTCTCCTCATTCGCATTAATAAGGTAGAATTTACAATTATTATTTTATTATTATGTTATTTATATAGCGCCATTAAATTCCGCAGCGCTTTACAGTGGGTGGACAAACAAACATGTAGTTGTAAACAGACAAGATGGACACACAGGAACAGAGGGGTTGAGGGCCCTGCTCAATGAGCTTACACGCTAGAGGGAGTGGAGTAAAATGACACAAAAAGGTAAGGATGGTATTAAACTAATGACAGTTGCAAGAGAGGAATCAGTTGGGAGCTATTAACAGTTTAATTGATACGCTTTTATGAAGAAGTGGGTTTTTAATGATTTTTTGTGAAGACTGGGTGAGCATCTAACAGAGGAGGGAAGTGAGTCATTCTGAACAACTGAAAGTGTTAGCCCAGCGCCCTCAGCCTATCGCTGGGAGAACTCTCCAAAACTGTTTCACAAAAAAAAGAAAAAAAAAAGGGGGCACAGTGCCTCTGTGCACCCTAACCACTACACTACGCTGTTGTAATTAGACTTATCATTTGATGGTAGGATCTCTGCGTAACTGTACGAATATATGATGCTGCTGTACAAGTAGAAAAAGTAAGCATAAATTGTATAAATATTAATGTCCTTGAGTTTTCTTCTTAATCGAGTGCATAAAACACACTCGAATTGACAAAATATTTTAAGCATTTTTAACTTTTAGCAACTTTGTTTCTTCCTTTATTTGTTCACGTTTACCTTTATCATAGCAGAAAACACATTGTCCTGATCTCTTCTGTTGCAGATAAATCAGCTCTCACATTCTTCCATTAATATATTCAGCCATATGATTCACATTAACACTAGTTTATTTTAGGGCCAAATAATTGTATCTAAACGGCAGCCAAATTTAATACTTGAGCTAATATTTTTTTTTTCTCACGTGCCTAACGTACGGTCATTGTAATATCAGCCATATTATCAACTTATATTATTTTGTCTTAAAGGGGAACTTCAAGTTTTTATTTAAAACTGCTGTTTTCTCCAGGAATCTGTGACCATCATTAGGGATATGTTTGGTTTAGGCTAAAAAGTTAAACCAATGGCATTTGGATAGAGTATATTAATAGTAAAGCAATCATCTTTGCTTAATCCTTGAGAAAGGAGAAATTCAAGCTGTCAGAGGTTAATTCCCCTGGGGCAGGTGATCTCTACCCTGGAAAAAAAGCAAAAAAAAAAAAAGCTACTTTGTGAATTTGTGAACATACGTACAACTGCTGAGATCTAGCCTTGGGACAGCCATTTTCAAATGCCCGCACTAGACAGAAGGATCACAAGAGCATCATACAAGCTTTTATTATAAGGAGCTTGAAGTACATGAAATTTGGTACAAGTACACTAGTGCAAATTATTAATTCATAGTTACTGAGACTGAAAATGTATAGAGGGACAACACATCATGCCAGAAAGGACATTCATTTGTTCATGCTGGGAACCAAGCAATTACAGCGTTTTGAGAAAAAGTATTTGAAAAGCCATTACAGTAATATTTTCCTTTGCTGTACTTTGCTGTAATAATGTATGAATAAGACAAAAGTGTGCAATACCAGTTTTTTTTTTGGTATCCAGTACTGTAATGCAGAACTGTAATAAATGCTTGAGCCAAGAGGAGGGAGCCAACAAAACATTGATTGCAGCAATAGTCAACCTTGGCCAGTCAGATGTTTATGGACTTCATTTACCATGATGCTTTACCAATCTAGGAATTAAAGATCAGTTATTTTAAACCTTGGTAATAAAGACGTGGACTATCCTTTCCTAGAGGTTAGCTAAGCAATATGGAGAATGTAGTTGACAAACCATAGGGGGAGATTTAGCAATTCAAAATAGGTGTTATTCTGGGTTCAATGTGCTAAATGCTGAGTGAGACATTCTAATGGTTTCCATGGTGAGTCATCCTTATTTACCACCTTTTATTTATTTGATTAATCTATTTTAATATTCTTAGCATGTTACATCTGATAGTAGAAGAATATATAATAAATACATACAGTGTATGTATTTGTATAGTGTTGGTGTAGGAATTTGCTAAACATAGTACAATATTAATAAAACAACAGAAAAACTAAATTTAGTTTCACAAATGATTAATATTAAATATAAAATGTATTTTGTAGCCAATTTACTGGATATGAATATATTTCAAAAAGGGGTAACATGTTGGGAGCAGTGATGGATGGAGGGCACATTTTGACATAAGAAATATCACTACAGTTGAGCATGACCATTTAGATTTGCACTGAAAATGCATTAAGCTGCAAAAGGGAATTGCCTGTATTTTTAATGCATACATAATACATATTTAATTCTCTTGAATTTTCCACAGCCAAACAGGTCATCCTTCGGTCACAAAATCTCATCTAAGACCAATGTGTCTCCATGTTAATTTCTTCCGTATTGTGCACAGTGTTAGTCAGAAAATACTGGAGAGATGCATGTATTTAGGACAGGACTTTCTGACCAATGGAGGACCTACAAGGCAACAGACTAGGAGGAGGTTGGTATAATACTTCATAGTGTTTCACAGAGACACAATTTTAAAAAATCAGTGTTTGGTTCAATAGCTATGGAAAGCACTGTAATGACCCTGCCTAATATTGTGTTGTTCCCCTTTGTGCTGCCAAAACAGCTCTGATGCATCAAGGCAAGGACTCCACAAGACCTGTGAATGTGTCCCGTGAAATCTGGCACCAGATGCAGCAGATCCTTTCAGTCCTGCAAGTTTCGAGGTGGGACCTCCGTGGATCATATTTGTTGTACCAGCACATCCCACAGATGCTCAACTGGATTCAGATTGGATTGAGATATGTGACGTTTAGAGGTCAAAGCAACATCTGGAAGTCTTTGTGGGTTTTTTTCAAACCAGTCTTGTGCATTTTTGCAGTCTGGCAGAGTACATTATCCTGCTGAAAGAGGCCACTGACATCAGGGAATACCATTGCCATGAAGGGGTGGTACATGTCAAAGTAACATCCGCATGAATGACAGGAGCCAAGTTTTCCCACCAGAATACTACCAATAGCATAACACTTCCTGCAATGGCCTGATTTCTTCCCATAGTATATGCTGCTTCCATGACTACCCCAGGTAAACAACGCTCACGCACCCAGCCATCCACCTAATATAAAAGAAAATTATTCATCAAACCAGAAAATCTTTTTTCATTGCTCAGGGATCCAGTTCTGATGCTCATGTGCCCATTAAAGGTGCTTTTTGCGATGGACAGGGATCATCATGGGTACTCTGACTGGTCTACAGCTACACAGCTCTATACACAGCAAAATGTGATGCACTTTCTATTTCACACCTTTCTATCAAGGCCAGCCTTACATTTTTCATCTATTTAAGCTACAGTAGTTCTTCTGTGTGATCGGACCAGACAGGCTACCCTTTGCTTCCTACGTACCTTGCATGTATTCCTCACACTATAATGTTAAAAACACCATCTAGCCCCCCTGGTCCTCCCTTGCCCCCATAAATATAGCAAAATCTTACCTTTATTGCAGTCTGCTGCTGCTGGACCTGCCCTTGATCCGCCTGCTTGGCTGACATCATCAGAATGGCTGATCAAAAGGCAATCACAATGCTTTCGCATTGGATTGGCTGAGCATGTCAAGGAGACAGATCAGGGCCAGAGACAGCACAAGCCAAACACAGCTCTGGTCAATCAGCATCTCCTCGTAAATATTTCTTTCAAATCATTATGGTATTAAAAGAATAATGTTAAAAAAAAAAAAAGATTAATGTTCACAAAGTAATGTTTTTATCAAGAATACCATTTGCAGCCATAAGACAAAATGTAATAAGTTTAATATTAAAAGGCAGAGAAAGGGTAGTTTCACACTCTATGTATTATACTGTATATAAATCACTCCCTAATTTGTGTAATGAACTATAATCAATGTAATATCATGGCACAATCACTTGTCAGAATGAAAAAAGACAACAAAAAAGAGAAGAGGGAAACCAGATAATTGTAAAAATAAAAAGAAATGAAGAAAAAGGAAATAAAAATGAGAAGAATGACTTGTGTTCAAAGTATTCAAAGTACATTGTATAGGATTCCCTTAATCAAGATCTTTTGTCTCATTAACATTGAAGGTGTTCTCTGTCAAATGCGAAGCAAAAAATAATCGCCCCTAAAGAAAAAGCCTCATCCATTGTTAATTTCCTTTGTAGGAATCTATTCAATCTTTTGCATTTCACTACATGAAGAGATTATTCTATGTTGTCACTTGCTACATTGTATGCTAGAGACTCCCTGCTGTTAATTTGTATCCAGCAATTGTTAAACTGCGCACATCTCCTCTATACAATGAGATTTCTTTCTCCATTTTTAACTGCTTGGCTTTAAGTGACTGTCTATGCTTTAATCTGCTGAAGGGTGGAAGGATAATGTTACAATATATTAATGTTTATATAATTGAATAAGTCACAGTCCATCCCATACTCAATGTGTATTTCGCCAATATGCTCTTCATGCATGCAAATGAACCTCTGATCAATGTTTTCCTGAAATTCATATGTAAATTGTAGAAGGTCAAAGTCATGAGGTCAATGTCGCATAATAAAATTACCCTTCTCCAAAACTCTAAGTTCACAATAGGGAACAGGTAAGAAAGACACTGCCGTAAATGTGAAAGTATGAAAATGCTATTTTCTTTTTGTCCTTCCAAATTCACTAGCCATGTTTGTAATAAAGTAATTGACCAATGCTGTACAAGAAACAGATA